AAGTTGACAACCTTACTTTACCGTTAGTTCCATGCACTCTGTTCACCCACATTAATCTGCACCATCAATGTCCTTTACGAATATCCAATCCATTTGCCCCTTTTTGAGCCCCGAGCTCAACCACTCAAATATTTGATAGAACTTTTTTATATTGAAAAGTTTAAATTTAAACTATGCTTTTACGGAGGGAGCCCCTAGTAAATTGTTGGCCTTACTCTCTCAACTTCGGTTGGCATAAACTGGCTTCATTGGGGGAATAGTAGGACACTTTTTTCCCCCCATTTTTTTTAGTTCTTAGAGCATTTTCAATCCTTACCCAAATCTTTGATTCAAATTCAAATTTGAGTAAAAACATCTTAAAAATAAGTTCCACTCTTTTACTCAAATGTAGAAAGATTCAAATTTTTTGTGAAATCAAGGAATACTCAAATCACCAATAAACATATTTCAATTTTTTTAAAGATCGAATAATCATATTTCATATTTTATATTCCTTTAGAGTTTGTTCTTGTTTAAATTTGAATTTGTTCATTAGAGTTACTTGTATTAAATCATATTTTTTATTCAAAATTTGAGTCAATGCTCTTAAATCCTAGATCAAAGAGAGCGAGAGTGGGAGTGGAGGTGGAAGCGAAAGTGCAAAAGTGATAAAATTCAAAAATATTTGAGAGCAGGAACACCTTAAAAGCGTCATATTATATGAATCAAGACAAACATTCACTCATAAAAATTAATAAAAATAAAATACAAAAAACTATATTTTTTTGGGCTTAGAGAAAGGTATAAACTTCATTTAACATTCCCCGTAAGTCTAGGGTACATAACACCCATAATATTGGTCAATAGTCCTTAATACAGTCCAAAGTAATATTACTAATGCATAATAGATCAAAAGACAGTCCCCCTGTGTAGGTAAGATGTCAGCACATCTATTGGTTTCCCTCCCTCCTATCTTGCATGAGGAGCAGTTCTTGGAATTGAGTCGTTAACGACCTGCATTATCAATGGAGCTGTGATGGTGATCCTCTATTCAGAAACTATTTCGTTTTATACCTTGACAAATTATTTAATTTTTAAATATATATTGATTATAAGATTTTAAAATAATAATTATATATTACATATTATTCTACTTTGATATTTATCTTTATATATAGGTCAATATTTTTTAAATAAAAATTTAAGTAATAGTGAATAAACATATAAGTAAGAGTTCATATTTTATAAAATGAGAGCGCGTATTTTATAAAATGAGAGTACAAATTTTATAAAATAAGATTGCAAATTCACAGAAAATTCTCTCTCAAAGCGCAAATTCACACGCAGAAAACTAAAATGGCGAATGTTTTAAAGGATTATATAACTCATCTTAAATCAAAGATCTTGCATCCAATAAATACAGTACCAGACCTGGATAAAGTCATAAAAAATTAGTAGGACAACGGGGGAAATGTTAACCCAAAATTTTCTTTTGGGAAACTTATATTCAAACTCTCTCAGACCTGTATCGTTATGTCCATTAATAAATTATATCTAAACCCCTAAAATTTGAAACATATAATATTTAAATTACTTAAGTTTAAAATATTATACTTAGACAAAAAATATTCTAATTAAAGATAGAATATTAAATATTTTAAATTTTATAGTCAAAATTCTTGTTCTATTATGCCATTTATTAAAATAAAATCAAAAATAAAAATCTAATTTTTTAAAAAAAAATTATGATTAGTATTGTTGATATCAAAATTTAGATAACCTCTACATCAGTTTGTTGAATTTTGATCACCTGAAAAAGAAGTTGGAGACTAGAGGAGAGCTTTAAGAGTCGACTCTCTGATGCTTAAGTTAGTAAGTGACTCAAAGGTATTGATGATACACAAATCGGTCTTGTGTAAGATCAATAGTTAAGAATATAAATAAAGGCAATCAATGAACAATAAACAGACAATTAATGGCAAAACCATAAATAAAGAAACAACACAGAGATTTACAGTGGTTCGGTTTGGGTGAACTACTCCACTCTCAGGAACGGTTGCGGTGGCTGGTGGTGTTTTATTGATGAACCAAAGTTGGCAGGTGAGTGTTCTCCGGGGGAGTTACAATACTTTGGGGGAGGGGAGCAAGGTGTGTAGGGGTTTTAGAAGCATTCCCTCAATGTTGAGTGGGCATACATTATATAGTTAGGGTAAGACGGTGACGTGAGTGAGGGGGGTTTCTACCATTTTGGTAAGTATAATCTTAATAGGATTGGATCTCTGTATCCCGATATTCTTTTCTCATGCTCCTATTTTGTTGGAGAAGGATCCTGAAATGGACTGTACTTGGACTTGACTTGGAGTTAAGAGGACAAAGGAGGAAGAACCATGAGGGCCTGGCCATAGGCGGCGCCCCCCTTGGGCGTTGACCTTTGGTGTCTTGGCTCCACTTGACTCTCCTTGTTGATTTACGGCCTTATGACTCCTTGTTGATTTACGGCCTCATGACCCTTGTTAATTTTTGGCTCCACTTGACTCCGTCTTCAGTTGAACTTTTCTTCGAGCTTTCTTGGTTTATTTGCAGGTTTGAACTACCTTTAGAAGCTAAGAGCGGTATACCTGGAGTATTTTAGACTAAATGGACTTTTAACCTTGGATCAATTTTTCCATCATCAAGTTCAAACATATAAAATAAGCATGATAAAAACATTTGTATGTTCCATAATATCATCCATAACCCAAACAAAATCCCAATTTTTATAAATATATCAAATAACTCAGTTCAATACTCATTTACATAAAATTACATTAATCGTAATTGGGATAATTTGATCGTTTAACAAACTAAACAAGAAAACTGTAATAAATACAATATCTTTTATTTTTAATTGAGGTAATTTGATCGTTTAATAAATTTCGTTAATTCCATAATTAATAAAAAATTTAAGTGTACTATTTTAAACTTGAGAGATCTAAATGTTATACAGGTACAAACTTCAAAGAGTCTATATGTAATTTATTAATAGACATTAATAACAGAAATAAGTGTTATATGCATAAAAACTTTAAAGGGTCTATATATAATGTCAAGAACTAACTGATCAAGTGAGAAATGAGTTCTGAGTAGTGTTTTAAAATCCAGTCCAGCCCGACGGGTTAATCAGGTGAACCGGTGCCTAAACTAGGCCGATTTATCTATTGGATCAATTATGCACCAAAATCGGAGTAAACCTGGAGACCTGTACAAAACTGGTAAAAAACCATTAAACCAGACGAGTTCACTAAACCAGGTGGATTTTTTATTTAGTATAAAAACTAATTTTGGGGGTACTTTTGGGCATTTTTACCATTCAGCCCTAATCATTCCTTCCCTTCCCAGTTCCCTAGCCAACCCCCCTCTTCGCAAAGAAGCGAACAACCACTTTCTCTCTGTATCTCTGGTCTCTATTTCACTTTCACTGCGAGTACGATGACTCGAATCGAAGGGAAAGGAACTTTCAATCCCTAACCATCTTCATTGCGATTTTGATTTTTAAAAGAGAAAACTGCTTCAACTTCATTACTTCAGAGCTCCATTTACATCAAGGCAACGGATCAACGACGACCACTAGGTACCGCAACAGGTATACTACTTTTTACTGACTCTCTGACTCACTCAATATATATTTGATTGTTTATTTGTATTTGTATACATTGAATTTTGATAATTGATAATGCTATATTTTTTTTGGTGGGTTGCATTATATACATTGAATAATGATAATTGATAATGCTATATTTTCAGAACTGTAGGTTTATTTGAGTTTGATCTCTGTCTCTCTACTCTATCTAACAATATGTATATTTCCTGGGTTGCATTTCTTTTTTTTTTTTTTTGAGTTATAATATTGTTAGGATGTTATTGATACTAAAAATTTTTAGGCTTGAAATTGATTTTAGATATGTGGTGTTCTAGGAAGCACGGATACGGATACGTGACACGGGCACGATACGATACTGATACGGCGATACGACAAAACTTAAAAAAATAACATACGGGTAGGGCCAGGATACGTCTATAATATAATATATTTTATATTTTATTATTATTTAACGACATAGAAATTATAATTTTTCAATAATTATTAACATTAGTAAGTAAAATTAGAAATTTTTACCATGAAAAGGTTATAATATCATCTCATTATGATCTGTTCATAAAATGAGCATGACAAATTAAATGAATTATAATAACATTTAACTAGTTGGTTTTATAAGTATTTATTTTTAAAAGTATAGTATAAGTGATTCATTTTTTTTATACCCTCTTAACATATAATAATAGATAATACTTAAAAAACACTCGTGTTTTTAAAATCAGATGGAATTTTGTTGATGTTTTATATTGTATGTGAACTCCAAAGAAGGGTTGTACCTTAAAATTGAAAATTGTACATCTTACACTATGTTTAGAAGTATTCGCGAAGTATCCACATATTTTATTAATTATCGGATACAGATGATGCGTATCCGATACGTATCATTGAGTATCCGACGAGTATCGTATCCGATATAGTATCGGATACGGGTACGTTGACCTTGACGAAGTATCCGTACTTCATAGGTGATATTTTTTTATGCTGTGAAATGAGATGAGGTTGGATTTATTGCCTTATGTATCTGTATTTAACTTAACATGTTTGTTGTTATTATCATAATTATTGTGATTTTTTAGTCTATTAATTATTATTTATTTATTTATTATATAACCAGTTGAACCAATAACCCAACGGTTGAATCAGTGATCCATTGACTCAGTCCTTCTTCCGAGTTGATGTCCGGACCGGGTTTTAAAATTATAGTTCTACGTGTAACTTTCTCTTTTTTTTTGGACTAATTTAATCAGAGCAATGCTATAGGAATTTTATTTAGGGACCTAATAATTGGTTTCCGTGCAACCATTGAATTAATTGTGATTTTTAATGTTAGATAGAACCCACAATTAATCTCATAATTATACATCATTAAATTACTAAGTAATGTCCTAAATAAAATCCGAATAACATTTCCCATTTAACAATCAGCAACAACAAACTGCACAGAAATTTAAAACACAATCATATCAAAATTCAAACCTTTTTTCTTTTCATCTGAAAAACAACCACCCTTACAGCATCTTCTTCTTCCTCAGTACATAAACATCAGTCTCCTCGTAAGCATACTCCGGATGCAAATGCTCATGCAGTATTTTCTCAACCTCAAAAACCCTTCCACACACCTCCCAAAACAACTCATGAGCCTCCGTCGACCTCAACTGATACCCCAACAAAACCACGCCGTTTTCCCCAACCAGACCCTCCATTGCCGAAACCAATGGCTTCACCGTCTCCTCTATATAAACCACGTCCGTCGCAATCACGATATCAAACGGTGGGCCTAGGGCTTTGATTTGATCCGAATTGGCCCAATACAATTGGGACGTCTTTAGGGCTTTTCCCAAAACGGGCTTATTCTTCTTCAGATTGTGCTTTAGGGCTGGCATGACTGGTGCTATGTCGGTGAGAACGACGTCGTGTAGGCCGAGGAGGTAGAGACCCATGCCGGCGGCTCCACAGCCGGCACCGAGCTCGACGGCTCGTTTGTTGCGAAAATCGAGGAGGGTGGCGTAGGGGTTTTGGTTTTGGGTTGGGGTTGGAGTGGAGGATGAGGGGGCGTACGTTAGAGGAGACCAGCGTTCGGCGAATTTGACGAGTACGAGAGAGCAGGGCCAGACAGTGGTCCCCACGTGCATCGAGCCGTTGTCTTGTTGGATTGAAAGGTGCGTATTGCGCACCGGGAGATCGATCACCGGCGAGTCTGTGAATTTCATCGGATTTTTTTTCTCCGGCTATGAGTCTCAGCTTTACGAGTACGCTGGATTTGAGGTAGGTGATGAGAGCTTATAAGCTTGATTCAAATTCTGGCCTACCCAGGATTGTTTAGGGTTTGCCTGACCCAGCTCAAGTCTGGGTAGGCCCAACCCAGTGAGCTTATTAAGAGTGAGGTCCAGACCTACATTGTGAGTTAAAATCCGAAGCCCTAACTTTCATTGATTGAATTTACGTTGAGATAATGGGACTTGAGTAATTTTTTTTATAACTTATTTGACTTTAAGTATCACCTCTAAACTTATCATCATTTAAGTCATTTTTTTCATCAAATAGTTGTCAATAAATATATATTTTAAAACATTTTCAAATTCTTTTTAAAATGTATTTCATTATTATCCCTACCATAAATAGTGCATAACTAATTGACAACTTTTATATTTCCAATATGTAAATATTAGAATGTGAAACTTTCAAGATTTTTTTGATATTTGTGTATCATTTGAATTTTAAAATTATATATATGTGTGTGTGTGTGTGTATATATATATATCTATATACGTTTGTGTGTTATATATGTGAAATTTTAAAATTTAAATGATACATAAATATTAAAAAGAATGTTGAAAGTCTTACATTCTAATATTTAGATATTAGAAATATAAAAGTTGTCAATTATGTATGCACTATTTATGGTAGGGGTAAAAAGGTTTTATGACTTTTTTTAAGCAGATGTACTTCTATCCCAATTATTTTAAAAAGTGTACTTTTATCCTTTTAAGTTCTTAGGGAAGTATGGGCCTCCCTAAGCCCCATTTACATTTAGATCCTTCAAAAACTACAATTGGCCCGTATAGACTAAGGTTGTTTAAATTTTCGATTATCTGTAAATTTTGATCTTATCCTACCATATCCTATCAAACCTTATTGATCGGCTATCCAAAAGAATTGGGTAAGCCAATGGAAGATTATTTGGTATTCCACAAAAAAATCGGATAACAATGTGGAATACTTACAAAAATTTTGTATTCCTACCTTACCTTATCAACATATAAGTAAATTATATATATATATATATATATATATATATATATATATATATATATATATATATATTTTAATCTTTAAAAATTAAAATCTAAAAATTCTAATACTTTATTGATGTTTATGATTTTCTTATATATAATGTATTGATGTTTATAACTTTCTTGTTGTGTTTTATTGTAATTGTTTATGTATTTATCAAATTTATTGTGCTTTCTTTAGCGTTATTGGTTTATTGTGTTAGTTAATTGTTGCAAGTTACTTAATTAAATTGTTAAAATAATTCAAAAATTAATAACTACAAAATATGTGTTTATCCGATTTCTTACCCAATTGTTTTGGACAAAATTCGAGTACGAATAGTACACTTAATCGGTTAGGCAGGCTAAGAATGTAAAACCCGAATTTTTTATTTATTAAAATCTTAATTAAATGGGTAAAGTAGTAATTAATTGTTAAAGCATGGGTCAAAATGTGAATTTTTATATAATTCAGATGATAAAACGGACCTAACTGTTAGATTTGTCTCGCAAAATCTAGTTACCTAGAAAAGTAAAATTTTGAGACAGTTGAATTTTTCACGTGTTATGAAACGATCAGGTGTCGCGCGACTAAAATAATTGCGATCAAATTTTATTCGTAGGATTCGAAAAATAATTTAAATTTAGTTCAATAAACAAATATACTAAACTTAACACAGGACGAGATTTAATTAATTCAAAATAAAATTAAATCCGTTAAAATTGAACGTGTGGCGCAATGAAAAAAAAGTCTTCCACTTATTTTGCACTCCAATGTTGAGCAAGACAGAGAAATAGAAAAGAAAGAAAGAGACAAAGAAAAAGAAAAAAAGTAAACCTCTTAATCTTCTTTCTCAAATCTTTGAAGATTAAACAGTTTAATTACTTCAGACCAATAATTAAAATTGCTCTATACAATGAGAGCTACGCAACCATACCAAAGATCGTATTTTTTTCCAAAAATCTCAACGACGAGAATCTAAATCTAAGGCTTGGGTTCCTTGGAGTTCTACTATGTGGACTCACGCTACGAGATGTAGGGTTTTCCCTATTTAGATGACATATGAAATGGATAAACTAAGGGTGTATATCACATATTAAGTCTTGACTAGTATAACAAGTGGGTCAAATATAGGATTTATAATTAACCTTATAATTAGTACAATTCTATTATGATTAACTTGTTGTAAGTTAATGTTAGTGGTTTAAAGCATGTTAATTATACATTAGCATGACTTGATGTTGTAATGGGATATCAAGTTTAATAAAATTATTAGTTTGTTATGTGATTATGAAATAATTTGTATATTAAATGATTATTTAACATATGATTAGTGTGGTGGACTTGTGTTTATGTTTATAGAATTAATAAATATATTGCCATGTTGAAAGTAATAAGCATACCCCTTAGGTGTTTGTTTAAATGCCTAGGTAAATACAAGTATGTTAGTTGAGTAGATTATTTTACATAATATGCTTGAAATTGTGTTGAAAATGTCATTATATTGCATTTATTATGTAATGGACATTGTTAATAGTACCAAAGACAATTACATATTGTATTGCATTATGCATGAGTTGTACTATATTCATGGGCATTGACATGGATGAAAGTGTGTGCATGGTATGAAATCAATTACCACATAGGTGGTTGATCGTGGGCTCGAAAAAGTTGCACTAAGGTTAAATTGAGTCGCACGAAAAATTAAATGAATAAATGTGTCGGGGTATAGCACAAAGGGCTAGATTCTCCGTCGAGTGGCAACCCGCTTACTTGGTTTATACACTTTTCGGCGGTGTAATTCCAAAAAAGTTTAACAGCGAAAACGGAGCTGCAAATGGGATGTCTTGAAAAATTGTTAATGATGTGGTGTCTCATTGGTGTAATAACATAAATCATCTCCCCACAAAACACAAGAAAGTGAAATTAATTAGTCATTGAATGTACATAAACACCAATGACGGGGGCTTGAAATTCCTGAATACATACGCATGTGTTGTGGGAGCCCGATATGAGGCTTGATGTTGGTCTTGTTTGCGTGAGTCTCATCTCATGACATGACATGATTTATAATATTTGTTCATAATAAATATATTTAAATGAATGTATAAAATGTTTGTTGCATGTGACATTTTATATGCATTTGAGTTAAGATGTATTTTCTATAAGAGTTACCCTATTGAGCGTTGACTCACCCTCTATGAGAACAATTTTCAGATACACCTCAAGCTTTCACCAAAGACCCTCATATTGTTCTGCTTTGACGACAGAGTCAGACTGTAGCTCTTAGTTTGACGTTGTGATCCCTTATATATATTTACTTTTGGTCTTGTATAATTTTTCTTAACAAAAATTTGTTTATATTTAAAATGCATGTATATGAGACTTTTTTAAGACATTTATTCTTTTGTAAATGAATGTACGTAGTGATGATGATGATTATGATAGTATCCGATAATATGCAATTGCGTATGGATGAATAGAACTGGTGTGGTCAATGTTGTATGATTGAACAAGTTGTGTTTTTGATAGAGCTCCTTGTACAAAAGAGACACTGCCTAAATTTTGTTAAGTTATGGATCTTGGTAAATATGACATAACAGCGTGGTATCGAGTTACACAATATCCACGAATATTCTACCGATTGATAGGTGATCAACGAGATAATTACAGACACTCGAATTTTGGGGCGTCACAAAAAAAATATTTTTCTGCACAATATCCGATAGGAAGATGAATTATCATAATTTCTATTCATAGGGTAGGGTGAACACCAGCCATGAAATATTGTTTTACTAGGACATCAAAAGAAAAAGAGTAGACTATATTACGATAGGGTTGATGTTATTCCCACCTTACAAATTTTCATTCTCACATTATTAAGTCTTTTATTATCAAACTATTAAATCCACATATGTCTATTCCTACCCCATTAATAATTTAAGCCACCCCATTGTCAATCAATTTAATTAGTGATTGAGCGTACTCTAATCTACACCTATGTCATTTGATATCCACCATGTTTGTGATTTAACACACCATCCGTTAACACCATCCCCACTCAACCACCACGTCCCCACCACCTCCACCATGACTATTGGTTCACCATCACCCCCACATCAATACCACAACTACCTCCACCACCATCATTACCTTCTAATATTGCATTATCTCACTTTATGTATTGGAGGTAATCTAAGTCTACTTACAATTAATTTAAGTAAACACATTGTATTTTAATGAATTTCGCAAATTAAGTAGCACCCAAAAGTTGTTTATACCTTGTATTTTTAATTATTTTATTTGAGGTGGACATATCAGAAAAATGAAGTGTTGAACCAAACAAAAAAAAATCTGTTAGTTTAGAAAAAATAATATTATTTGATTATTATTTTTGTGACAGTAGTGATGGTAATGGTAGTGGCGGGGTGTTGGGTTGACAATGTCCATTGGTAGCGATGGTAGTGGACTTAATCACAGGTATAGAACATGTAAAGATTAGGTGAATTTAATCGATCACTACTATAATGAATATGTAGTAGCATGAATTTAGTTATTACTGAGGTGGACTTTGTAGTTTGAAACTAGCGGATTTAATAGGGGGTGAAGATGAAGATTTATGGGTTGGGAATAACCCCCCTTACATTAGTTTGGATTTTCTAGATCGCTTCAAGAACATCCGATAAAATTGAAAAATACATATATAGGTTCGGTTTTTACAACATATTATGTTGGCTAATTATATAATTTAATTGCATGTAGCTCTTTGTTGAGTGGAATCTCCAAAAAAATATTTATGTAGTCAATCTTAAATAATTAAAAGTTGACTTTATTTGGGTTTGTCTTTATGAATTTACAATAATTACTAAATTTAAATAAACAATTCTACCTAATCGGGAATGGTAATGATAAAAAATGATCAAATAATGTGGTGATGGTATGGTGCCTAAATCTTGAATTTTAAATGAACAAAAGTGAAACCATTTGGTCTCGTTTTGGGTTATTTCTCTTCAGTGTAGCGTTACCCATATGAATACTTTAGTGTAAATCAAGATATAATCAAATTACAATGTTATAAGGCTTCTAAATACATCCAAAAAAAGTCTATTTGATGTTTGTACATATTTGAAGATCCTTCTTTGATAGAGGTGTGTGTGTATTGTTGACACACAAAATTAAAAAAAAAAATTGTTAAAAGCTGTTTATAAAGTTTATTGTTATGATGATTTTTTTTTATTAAAGGAATGAAGAAAGGAGATTCAAACTTGGATTGTCGAAATTATCATATGTAACACTTTGTAACGAGGAAACAGTTGTTCTAATTGTTACCATATTGTTCATGTTGAAGGATCGGTAATCTCACATGTACTATAAAATAAAAATGTCACTCGTGTTGTGTTGTATTAAATTTGGCTCGTGCCATTTTTTTTTTGTGTCAATATCAATGAATTAGTTATTGTTTGTGTGGGAAAGCACAAAGTAACAAAAAATGATAAATAATAAACATATTTGTATTCATATCTAAAATCAAATCATAAATATAAAGAAGAGATAAAAGAGTTTAAGTATTGATTTATAGTGGGGGTAAGAGGTGCTAGGTGGCAGTGGTGGTGATAGGAGACGGCGATGGTTGGCAATGACCGTGGTGGTGGTGGCGGTGGTAGCGGTGGCGGTGGCGGTAGTAGTGGTGGTGACGACGATGTTGGTGGGAGTGGCGGTGGCAGCGACGACGACAACGACGGTGATAGTGGTGGTGATGGTGATGACGGCGGCAGTGGCAGTGGTAGTGGCGATGATGGTAGTGGTGGTGGTAAAGGTAGTGGTAAGACGGTTTCAAACACTATTTTTTAAAAAAATATTTATGAAAAATAATTTCTAAAATTACTTTTAAAAAATCACTCCAAACACTCTCTTAGCGGCCTATTTTTCCTATTAAATTTAGGGTGTTAATAAAATTTAAAGCGATCTCAGTCCTAAATAAGAAAAATTATTTTGTTTATTTTTAAAATTTAAATTATAAGATATTTTATTATATATATGATAGTAAAAAAATGGTTTCATTCTAAACAATTCATCTAAAGCTAAATAAAGAATCAAAAAAAAAAAAAACTGACCATTTTTTTCGTACTCGTTTCACATCTCGGGAGGAAAGGATGTATTTGTCTTTATATATGTCTATAGAATTGTAAAGAAAGGCAACGAGATTGAGCTTACTGCCCAAAAGATTAGACCTCACTCTAATGCAACTAAAGACCATCTACTCAACTAACAAATAGGATATTTACAGTGGCTATCCTTTACTTAGCTGTATATGAAGAACACAAAAGAGGTAATGTTACAAAATTCAAATAAAATTTTAAAAATTATAACTTAAATATATATCATTTCTTAGAAAAGTGGGTCCTAGTAATTTTTTCAGTGGATTTCATTCATCTCACACTCATCTAAGAGATGATATACATATGAGTTTTAACTTTTAGATTTCATTTGAATTATATAACATTTTCCCACAAAAAAAAGCATCGTTTTTTTGTGAGTGTAACATGAACTTTGAAAATTTATGTATTATTGATTGAATAACTTAGTACCTAAAACAATATATAGAAACAGTCAAAATTCTAATTTTCCCATAATGGAAGTAAAATTTCTAAATGTACAAAATTTATCAAAAATAGAAAATTATAATCTAACTAATTAACATAAAATCATGTGTCATCTTGAGTCCAACAAAACTGACAACACTAAATTCGGAATCTTCTATAATTTATTATTAATTTTTGAATTCTTCTTTAAAAAAAAGGAATTGGAAGGTATAAACGGTAAAATTTAACCTAAAAATGGCAAATCTCGTCCCAAAGCAACGAGTATATCGTTGGTTCAATCCAAATCAAATGACACTAGTTCTACTAGATTCTGAACCCAACAAATTTTGTCTCTACTATTATTTTGTTATTTTTTATTGCGCTTTGAATACGAAACAGTTCTCTATTTAAATATTCAGTTGCTACATGTTCTACATCAATACATCTTGCATTGCACACCATGGAACAACAAGCTCAATCATACAAATCAAAGTACAAGAAAGGAAGGGACTGGCGCAAGAATCTGGCTTCTTTCTCTCTTTACTTTTTCTTTTGGCCTTCTTTCCCTTTTTGTTGCCACATAAACATGTCAAGAAACTGTTTTAGGACCTCTGAATTAATCCCTATAGCACACTCCAGCGGATGATATATACTCCATCAAATATTCTGACCTAATGTTAGTCTAACAGTATAAATGTATTAAGTCTCTAAATTAGATCTAAGTAACACTGCACCTCGGTTATTGACAAGAATGGGCTTCCTTGTAGAGTATTGGTAAGATCTAGCTGAAAAATAGAGGAATAATGTCAATAAGGTGATTTATGGTAATATGTACTCCATCAACAAACATTATGGAAGCCCCCAAATTAGGTCCAAATAGCATTTTAAATTGTCATAACACTCCCTTGTAGTCTGATCAATAAAAAGGAATGCCACTATGGGTTATGGTGATAGTAAGGCACATTACCCAAAATTGATTGGGTAACATCAGACATGCTGAAAATAAAAAAACTTAGAATGGTCAATTATTCTGAAAGATACAGAAGTATTGCAAGTCGTTGAGAAAGAAAAAACCTTTTTAGACCGGGTATGATATGAAGACTTGTAAGCATTTCCTTCCATTTCTTGCATGAATAATAGCTAGTGCAGTAATTTACTTAACTTTGCATGGTTGAACAATAGAAAAGTACTTTATTTAAGCAAGCCTTCTTAACATAGAATCAAGCTTTTCTTGCCACAGAAATAGTATTTTTATTTTCTTGTTTGAAAAGATAGGAACTACAACAGATATTACAGATAGCAATAATGGAGTTCAAAAGGGCCCCTTGCTTTGCCCCCACTACTTCCACCCCCTTTTATCATAAACAAAAGCTACCATTTTAAAGGGAACAGCTTTCAGAGTTCAAAAGAATATGCACGTATCTCCTCCTCCTCCTGCTCTTGGATACTTATATGCTAAGCACAACTTTTAGATCCCATCAACCACTCAATGCCACCTTTCCCTCTTTGCAAAGTTTGCAACACACTAAATTCTCTCTCTCCCTCCTCCTCTTTTTCCACCCCTCCCCCCAACAATCAACTCCACTTTATGACCAACTTTGCTTTCTTTTTGAGAAAATATTCAATAACTCAAATACCAATATGATCAAATCCATCCATTGATTGATGATGGGTGGCAGATGGATTGTATGCCAACACCAAGGAAATCCCTAGTTTGTCCTCCTCCCGTACCGTCTTCATTCTGAATGTGCCTGCGCTTAGAAGGGTACATCTGAAACTGGTTCAGAGCAGAAAGATCATGTACTGAGCTTTCTACATCACTTCCAAGACCACTGGCTATGGAGTTCGCACCATACAATCCACAGTATTTGTTACCATCTTGAATCTGATTGTTAATGTTCTTCAAACCAAAGCTTCCTAGGAATGATGGGTCAGTTGTGGTTGCCCCCATTTCTGCAGCTTTCTGAAGTAAAGCTGTTGCAGACATGTTTGAAGAAGGAGTTTGATGAGAATAGTGTTGGGTGCTGAACAAGGAAGGAACACTCAAAACCTGGTTTCCAACATCTTTAACATTGGTTAAAGGGTGTGTTGTGCTTGTTATTTCTTCCACATTATTGGAAGAAAGCTTATTCCCAAAGTCCCAGTTTGATGGATAATTGGATGGTGGAGGATTCGAACTCGAAACGAGTGGATCACCGTAGATTGCACTGGAACTCACTGGACCAATTTGATGGATCTCTGGGAGATTATTGCTTATTAAGTCATGACTTGGGATCCTTGGCCCATCCACAGTGAGAGTCGTCTCATCGGGTCGCCAGAATCATCGTTGGCTGAGATTGTTGGCTTGAAAATAGAAGAGAAATGCTGTGCCATGCTCGACCCTACTGGAGCTCCCATAAAATGATAATTGATGTTTCCAGCTGCTGCATTGTTGATGTTAGATGCTGCTTTAACCCTAGCTGTTTCTTCAGCTAAGGCATCACAAAAGGCCCTATGAGTGATGAAGCTATCTCGCCTGGTTATGTAAAATTTGTTAATAGTTAGTTAATTCAATGAAAAGACAACGCTAAGTAGTACTAAACACAGATTGAATCATTCATCTATCAATAACATAAAGTAAACATCTAAATCAGCTAATGTTGGGACGTCAGCAAAGAGGGTTGATCAATAAGTTCAGACTACTTTCGGTCAATTTGTCTGTCCCAAGCAAGAAAGGGTTTAATGAACCCTGCAGTTCACGATGCAAAGCTTCACACTATCTCAGAAAGGCAAGAACCTTACTTTAGAGGTATACGTTGCAAAGAGGGGGTTGATACTAAGCGCTGCCCTAGGACTGGAATCGCAGAGGATACTATAAAAGATGATTATAGAAAAACTTGAATTTGGATGTAAGCTACTTGACAAAATTGGAAGCTAAATTGAAATTGTTTTTTGTAAATTTTCTCTGGGTTTGTGCTAAAATTGACTAGGCTACCCAAACCAAACCAAGTAAAAACAAGGAAAAAAGGGTCACAACTATTCAGAAAGGGATCACTATTAATAACCTTATTTCCAGATGATGAAAAATCCTAATGAAGAAGACAAGGGGCTGAAAATAAAGGATTTATCTTTCAAACAGTCGATTTGTCTTCACTATGGCCACCTCTTTTTTCATTCTAAAAGGCATACAAGCACACACACACAAAGATGTGCTATGTTCTTCTAACCAATAAAGTTATCCCAATCACAAAAGAATGCTCTCATACCTTATCGACTACCTAAATTTGCTTCTTTGAAGTGCTTGATAAATAGTACTTCTGCAAAAAATTTCCATTCCACTATGCATTCTTCTAAACCCCAAATATATTTGTTAGCAGGCATTACCTTGAAAATATAGTCCCACAGTCACATTTGTACTCCCTAGTGCCACAAGTCTTGGAGTGAGCTTTCCAGTCCGACTGAACCGCATATCTCTTGGAGCACTTCTCACACTTCCACTTCTTCTCCCCATGTTTTCGACAGAAGTGCTTCTTTATTCCGGTGAGGTCTCCGAGAGCCCTCGAAGGGTGGTTGTGGACACAGGTCTTTTCCGGGCACACATAAACTCGTTTTCGCACCTCTTTGCTAGTCCTTTGCTTCAGCTTCCATGGAAGATTATGCCCTCTTCTATGAAGTTGCAAGTTTTGATCTCTCTGAAAACCCTTTCCACAGATTTCACATAAGAATCTGTTGGTGGCCATTAGGGTCTTTGGCGACAAGGCAATTACTTCAGCTTCAGGATCTGTGTAAATAATAGTTTGATGCCCATATGTCAAATTGAAGAACAATTGAAAAAACAATCATGAATATTCCTCTAATTAATAAAGTCGAACAGAAACAAAGCAAAAAGAAAAGCTTTATGTAATGAAAAATGAGGGTTTACCTGGATTTCCTGGAAGGTTTCTCTTCTTTTTCATGGGGGTTGGATTAGATCCACCACTTGAATTCTGAGTGAGACCATTTGATATCACTTCCTCTGTCATCTTCTCTAAGATCTCAAGTTTGTTTTCTCAGTTGCTGACTTTTTATATACAAAAAATTATACGATAAGTTCTCTCGCAGATGGAATTATGAAGAAAACCTACCTGAAGATACCGTTTGCTATATTTTCAGCCTTAGCAACAGAAGCAGATACATAGAGAATTGGATCTCTCTCTCTCTCTCTCTCTCTCTCACACACACACACACACAGATCAAGGGCAGGATTGGTGATGGAATTAAGACAGCCCAAGAGAATGACTACCTAATTAAGGGTTCAACTCTTACTGAGAAGGGCTGATTAAATGAAGATCGGATCTCTCTCTCTCTCTCTCTCACTGCAGTCTTTTAACTGCTTTTTGTCGGTACAGAATATATTTTTTTCTTTCATGGGAGGCGGTGAAAAGTGAAAGCTGGAGGGAAGGGGGTTGAAGAGGAGGTGGCCAAAACACTAAAGTGCATGATGACACATATGATGAGGTCTAGAGAAAGTTAGTCTCCATGCCTTTCCCGTTGGAATGATTATCCCATAATTTGTTTGCTTTTTGTTTTTTATGTTTTCCATATTGCTCTCTTCCAATCATTCCATTTAAATATGTTATAGTATAATATATCTGTTTAATTATTTGCTAGAACCACACAGAATTATGTGGAAGTTTATCTTCATTTCATGGATAAGTTTGATACTGTTGATATAGAGAGGGGGGGGGGGAGTTTCTTTGCTTTAGCATTTCATGGTTAAACTTTGAGTTATATGAGGATTTTGTTTGGTGTCTGGTGGTTATATATCTTTTCATTTGTAATCAAGATTCTGAGATTAGATGTAAAAAAGAAATGCTAGACATAGGTAAAAAGTGATTCTCTTTCCCTTACTTTTCCTTTTCCTGTCATAAACATGAGGAAGTCATAGTTTTGCAACCACGAAACTAAACGTACTTCAATTATCTCCCATTCTCTAAAACTAAAAAAAATTCATTGCACGAGATTCTTGCTATTATAATTCTCACTTATAAATGTAATTTAAATATATAGTGTCAAGATTATAGTAAAGCAGTCTTACCATAATACCAAAGCCCGCCCTCTAAAACTCTTTACATAAAGTCACTTTGATAGAGATGTCTCAAGTATCATAGCATGAAGTAGGTTACTAGCATTCATGTTAGTTGAGTAATTGAATATCCTTGACAGAAGAGGGCATAGACACAGATATTATCACTTTTTGCTGAATAAATTTATAAATTAGAGAAGTAAATCTATGGCAGATGTCTGAACGTAACTGATCAACAATGTCTACAAATTACACCTTCTTTGATCCTCATATGCCACAAAGTGAAAATTTTACACTTTGCTGCTTAGTCAAAAGGGAAGTGGGAAGTACTTCCCAAAAAGATTTTACTACCTAACTTGCTGTAACCAAATTCTTTCTTTCTTGTGGTTACAACCTAAATCTTATATCCGGTAAAATCAGATGGCTAAAGTAACCTCATCTTTTAAATATTTGATTAGTGATAACATGAATTAGGTCTTCACTCTTCCAAATACTCCTAAGCAAAATAAGGAGCGTTTTGTACGGGTATAATATTAAAATGGGAATTAGACTAATTGATTTCAATCTAATTCATACTCATCCTATTAATTTATGTACTTTTTCATTATATCCTCCCTATATACCTTGTTTGGTGCAAGATTGGGATAAAGTGTGAGACCATTGTCCTAATACCAATCTTATGTTTCTAATACATGATATTAAGTTGAAAAGGAGGAAAGCAACATTGCATCCAATCAAATCCATAATCAAATTAGGTATTTTTGTTATTCTTGTACTAATATCAATCGTTATTAACTCAAGCTATAAGACCAAGCCTTATAACTTGATCTAAACATAGTAGTATTAACTTATCTTACTCGCAATTCTGGGAACAAAAATGCCCTAAAGGATGGAAGAGCATAACACAATTGAGCAAAAGTTTAAAGACAGTCAGATTTTCTTCAGGTTTTTAAATTATTTTACTGCGTGGATTCTGAAATGTGTGAAACCATGCACGTGCCCAACTGTCAAAGAAGATAAAATCCAAAGGAAACGACGAACAATCACGCACAAAAGGGAATCATCGTCCTTATGACAGTGGGACAATGGATGGCCCACCTCATATTTGAACAGATCTGCTTCGCTCTTGAGCCTTGACAATTTTATTAACCTCACACGGACAGTAACTAGGGTTTTGATGAAAAAATTCGGTACTATACTGAAAGTAATTGAGTCTTAGTTTGATGTATTTATAATCATTAATATTAAAAATAATAAAATACAATAATAGCGTAAGGAAATTTCGTACATGTCTAATTTTTGTTGGTCAAAAAGGAAGATAGAGTACCAAAAAATAGTTTTTCAGTGCCATAGTTGGACTCGGATTTTGAAGGAACATTGACAAGGGCTTCATGATGAAGGAAACAGTATAGTTTGATTGTTGGATGATTCCTTGAATGGTAGTTATTGATCACCATCCACTTTATAGCTTTTTTTCCTTTTGTCATTCGAGGATTCTTTTCTTTAAAGGATTGTCTATCTGGATTCTTGTTTGGAAATTTTTAGCTACAAGTCATTCAGGGCAGGGATGAGTTAATATATGGTTTGGATTGAATTGAAGGCTAAAAAAACTTATCGATGTCAACTAAAGAGATTGACGAAAGATCTATGATATCGGAGATTGGTACCATACTGAAAAAGTTACAACCAATAAAATTAAGTTACAATTCAAACGTGTCAAAGTTACTATTCAACTATATTCAAAATTTTTGAGTTTGGTGCCAAAAGTGTGGGGTCAATTATGGTTGGTTCTAATTAGCCGTGTTGAGTCATTATTTGACATGTTTGACTCATAACTTGACCGGCCTTAAATTTTGATTTCGTTTGATCAAAAAAAAAAATTTGATTTGGTACAAATTTCCTTAGGGAAATAGATTTCAGCATGACTTCGTACTGAAGCAAATATGGATGACTGAATGCCATGTGATAGAAAAAAGCTTAATGGTTAAAAATCTAATCCTATGAATAGCCAAAACATTCAAGGAATGTCTAGGCCGGGCTATCAAATTTAAGTTTGGTGATATATTAGTGTCATAGGTCCGGGTGGTCTCTCACGCATTAGACGGGTTGAGTGCTAAACCTAAGCAATTTATAAAACAGTCACCCCATGTTCCATTCAAATCTGTCATTCAACCACACCCTTCAACTCAAGTACTTCCACTCTTAGAATTTTTTTTTCTTTTAATTTTGAATTAAAATCCAAGTTCAATTCTTGGGTTAGAAAATCAAGTTTGCTTTAAAGTTACACAACTCTAGTTAAAATTCCAATTCAATTATGGTCGAACAAGAATTTGGATTACGTATGGGCTTGTCTCGTGTTAAAATTATATTATGTCAAAATTCGTTTAACTCGTGTCCAACTCATTTATAGTGTTATATGTAGTCGAATTCGTGTCATATCGTTTCATTTCGTGTCCAAGTTGAATTTAGCTTTTGTGTAATATATAGCTGCAGTCCTATTGATCCATGCACCAAAGGGATTTGACGAGTCAACCATTTTATGACCAAAATCCCCAATACTAAATTGATACCCAATAACATCATGTGGATCATGTTAGGTTTTATCTGTCATGTGTGATTGATATTTATAATCCATTGAGTTATAGTTTTGATTACTTAGGCCAAAAGAAATTGAAAAACTTATCAATAAGTTCAACTTTTCTTCTAAAATAACCCTCAAGTTCTATAATATTTAATTTAGAACAAGTCCTCATTTTAATAATTTATTTTCAAAAAGTGTTAAACTCCATTAATAGTTTGTTTTGTTCCAATTTAGTATAAGAATTTACAATTCAGATTATTGATGACTAATTTTCGTTTGTCCAGTAACTTTTTAAAATTTCTTACAATTTATTATCGGAAATAAAAGTGTAAAATTTTCATATTACAAGTCTGGAGATTTTGGGTTTAAAGTGGGTGTGCCCAAATCAGTTTCCAACAACGTACAGTGATATATTTAGTAGTGAGGGTACAGGTTAAAAGACAGCCAACTGACAAAGGCAGTGAATTTTTGGAAGTGTGAGTAGTCAGTCGTCTACTTGTGGGCTGACTTCTCCTGCTAACCCCTTAATCATAATCTAATCATGTTTTTGCTTTCTAACTTTGTTTAGTATATAATCTTTGGATTTTAGCTCTTGAACTTTGGTGGCCCCAGAATATTCTCTCCCTCCCCAACACTCCTCAAAGGCTTCAACTTTCAAGGTCCAGCTCTCTCCATAACCTTATCAGATTCCTCTACCAATAATCCTCCAACCAAAGCAATCTCTCTCTCTCTCTCTCTCTCTCATGTAGAAACTATTATTATAGGACTAATGACACTTTGAACCGTTAAAGATTTTAATATTTTTACTTTGTTCAATCAAAGATAAAAAGATTTTACATTGACCCTTTTTTGAAATGTAGCCATCTGCCCTAACCATTGAACTAGTGTTACTTTACCTTGAAAAATTAAGACCTTTAAAGTGGTACTCTCTCCCTCGAGAATTAACTGTCATAGTGTTACTTTGTCCTTGAAAGATTAAAGTTGTATTTTCTCCCTAGAAATTATCTTAGATCACATGCGTGACACCTTGGATGTTGATAGACAGATAATGAAACGTGTTTTAAAAATTGGAGCACGTTGCCGTTGTTTGAAAACAAATTGGGGTATGATGTTACATTTTGAACTTTTGAGGGAGGGTAAATGAAATTTTAGAATCTTTGGGTGTCAAAATTTTTAATCACACTAATATATAATATAGCAGGTCTAAGTTGGACAATTGAAATAGAAATAGTTTGGGGAAAAGTAAAGTGTTGTCACCAAGGGTATGTTTGTTTTCTTTGGTTGTCTTTTACTTTGAAAATGAAGGGTAGACTACATAATTTATTGTTGTTAGGGGTAATATCCTAATAAGCTTTCAATAGTATTTGCTAATTCCAAGGAAGGGACATGCCCTTAGCTCTATTATCAACCATCTCGAAAA